ATGCCACCTCGGCGCAAATTGAACACTTTAATCATCTTGTGTTTCCATGGCAAGTAGAACCAACCGTCAATAATTAATTTGCCCATCGCGTCGTATTGCGTACAGGTAATCACTCCACGTAACTCAAATTGCCTGTGGCAGAACGAAAAGTAGCCGTACTCGTTCGACTGCACCTGGGCACCCTCGACATTCTTTCTCACAACGTAATTTTTTAAAAGGACCATTTCGGTGCCATCGTTGCTCACGCGACTGACGTTCATCTGATATTCATTGCGGTCGATTTTCTCATATGTGGTAAAAAATCCACCACTGCTCGAATTGTGCCGGTCCACGACCATAGCGTACCCCTGCCTGTAATTCTTTGAAGGAAAGGGCACTGGTTCGCCAATTTGCTCTCCTGAAAACAGTAAAATAATCATCTTTATGATAATTTGAGCATCGACGCCAAGTTTTTACAAATTTGTAATTACCATCGTGATTGTATCGGATCATGCAGGGGCTGTGCTCTTGGCCGCACTTTTCCTTATTTTTCGTGGTAACGTGAAAGCTGTTGTCGTACACGAGGAGATGGTAGTGATGGTCGAACGGAAAGTCTATGTCGATGGAATTGCAACTGTTTATGTCGTACAGAGTAAGCCTTTTGTATTCCATGCCATATTTTATGAAGGTCCACTCAACAAGTGCCTTGTTTGTAATCATACTATAAAGATGGTCATGTTTCTTGAGATGTGGGAGGGTCAACTTGCAGTATTTTTCGAAGCCATCGACCAAATTCAGTTGGATGTAGCAGTTGTAAGTGGCCCAACCTTTGGTCCAGCCGCATACCATGTACGTTAGGCTTTGATTAACATTTTGGGCAACTCTGGTGTAAAATGGATCAAAAGCCTCAAAGTATCTTCTAATGAAATTTTGTTCCTCGGCTGCGAGTGTAGTGACAAATAGCAGACCCATGACTGCGAAGATTTTTGCAAACGATGTCATTTTTCCTTGGAGTGAATTTTTGTTGATTAAAATGTTGATTTGTAGAAAACATGCCATTTAAAAAAAGTATGAGCAATTTGTAAGTTAGATTAATTATTTATAAGGCATACTTGTCTTTCATAAGCATTGAAGATTTTTTACTTGAGTATAAAATTTTATTACTTATTTTTATAAAGTTTTTATTTCATTTATTCTTTTATTCTAGACTTTATCGAAAAGTTAAATGATTATGTCAGCTTGGTACAAAAATGTACCAATTTATATTATTTCATGGAATAGAAATTATTTTTTATTTATGAATTTAATTTTCAATATGACAATGTACCGCAAACCTGCCAGCGTTTTCGAGCAACTGCTTTAAAGCACTTCAAAGGTCATTTTCTTTATTTCTATTATTGTGGCCTAAAAAAATAGAAATAATCTTGGAGTACCCTGGGAGTAGTCAATCAACGAGTCCAAGTAATGAAATGTCAGTAATATAAATTTTATTTGTTGA